TAATGTTAAATTCTCAACTAGCGAGTATTTCTCTAATGTGGCTAAAGGAATTTGAAATTGACAGCTTAATAAACAAAATTTCTCTAGAAACATAAATTGGCCCGTTCCGATCGACAACACTTTTCGAGAAAGTCGGTTTTTCCAAACGGATTATAAAGAATATGATCTAGGACAGGGGACGGTATTGTTTTGTTTATTTTATTTATTTTACTTATTTTGTTTTTTTTTGTTCATTTTGTTTACCTTTTTTACTTTGTTTACTTTGTTTACTTTGTTTACTTTGTTTACTTTGTTTACTTTGTTTACTTTGTTTACTTTGTTTACTTTGTTTACTTTGTTTACTTTGTTTACTTTGTTTACTTTGTTTACTTTGTTTACTTTGTTTACTTTGTTTACTTTGTTTACTTTGTTTACTTTGTTTACTTTGTTTACTTTGTTTACTTTGTTTACTTTGTTTACTTTGTTTACTTTGTTTACTTTGTTTACTTTGTTTACTTTGTTTACTTTGTTTACTTTGTTTACTTTGTTTACTTTGTTTACTTTGTTTACTTTGTTTACTTTGTTTACTTTGTTTACTTTGTTTACTTTGTTTACTTTGTTTACTTTGTTTACTTTGTTTACTTTGTTTACTTTGTTTACTTTGTTTACTTTGTTTACTTTGTTTACTTTGTTTACTTTGTTTACTTTGTTTACTTTGTTTACTTTGTTTAATTTGTTTAATTTGTTTACTTTGTTTACTTTGTTTACTTTGTTTACTTTGTTTACTTTGTTTACTTTGTTTACTTTGTTTACTTTGTTTACTTTGTTTACTTTGTTTACTTTGTTTACTTTGTTTACTTTGTTTACTTTGTTTACTTTGTTTACTTTGTTTACTTTGTTTACTTTGTTTACTTTGTTTACTTTGTTTACTTTGTTTACTTTGTTTACTTTGTTTACTTTGTTTACTTTGTTTACTTTGTTTACTTTGTTTACTTTGTTTACTTTGTTTACTTTGTTTACTTTGTTTACTTTGTTTACTTTGTTTACTTTGTTTACTTTGTTTACTTTGTTTACTTTGTTTACTTTGTTTACTTTGTTTACTTTGTTTACTTTGTTTACTTTGTTTACTTTGTTTACTTTGTTTACTTTGTTTACTTTGTTTACTTTGTTTACTTTGTTTACTTTGTTTACTTTGTTTACTTTGTTTACTTTGTTTACTTTGTTTACTTTGTTTACTTTGTTTACTTTGTTTACTTTGTTTACTTTGTTTACTTTGTTTACTTTGTTTACTTTGTTTACTTTGTTTACTTTGTTTACTTTGTTTACTTTGTTTACTTTGTTTACTTTGTTTACTTTGTTTACTTTGTTTACTTTGTTTACTTTGTTTACTTTGTTTACTTTGTTTACTTTGTTTACTTTGTTTACTTTGTTTACTTTGTTTACTTTGTTTACTTTGTTTACTTTGTTTACTTTGTTTACTTTGTTTACTTTGTTTACTTTGTTTACTTTGTTTACTTTGTTTACTTTGTTTACTTTGTTTACTTTGTTTACTTTGTTTACTTTGTTTACTTTGTTTACTTTGTTTACTTTGTTTACTTTGTTTACTTTGTTTACTTTGTTTACTTTGTTTACTTTGTTTACTTTGTTTACTTTGTTTACTTTGTTTACTTTGTTTACTTTGTTTACTTTGTTTACTTTGTTTACTTTGTTTACTTTGTTTACTTTGTTTACTTTGTTTACTTTGTTTACTTTGTTTACTTTGTTTACTTTGTTTACTTTGTTTACTTTGTTTACTTTGTTTACTTTGTTTACTTTGTTTACTTTGTTTACTTTGTTTACTTTGTTTACTTTGTTTACTTTGTTTACTTTGTTTACTTTGTTTACTTTGTTTACTTTGTTTACTTTGTTTACTTTGTTTACTTTGTTTACTTTGTTTACTTTGTTTACTTTGTTTACTTTGTTTACTTTGTTTACTTTGTTTACTTTGTTTACTTTGTTTACTTTGTTTACTTTGTTTACTTTGTTTACTTTGTTTACTTTGTTTACTTTGTTTACTTTGTTTACTTTGTTTATTATCTTCATTATTATCGATGGAATAGTTTATAATAAAAATTCGTTTAGTCGTTTTAATATTTTATCTGGATATCTAAAATCATCTCTGGCTTTACCCTTTGACGTCATCAATTATATGATTTTGAGAATATTTTTAACATTGAATAGACAAAAATGTTTTAATGCTACTCATCACTTAAACTTCACCGCCAATTTATAAAGACAATTTATTATGACAACATAATTGAATCGATCATATGAGAAACCCCCTGAGTTGTTCGAGAAAATGAAAATTCACAATTTTTTGGTTCAGGTTCAGCACTTTCTCAAATGGATAGTAAAAACTTCTATTTATCGTAACACTTAACTGTATGCAAACAAACTGTTTTTCTCTGTGAATCTATGCGTCTACATTCTAAATACAAAAAAATGGTGAAATGTCACTTGTGAAAAATGTTTGTAGAATTATGATTTGGAATATTATTACTTGTTTAAATAATTATTTCTTACCTACGAATAGATACGATTGCCCGATTCTATCGGCAATAATTTAAAATGTTTGTTATTATTTTTATTCTACGATACAACACTGCCGCACAAACATTACCGCGAAATTCTCGAAGTTGTCCGACGGGGTTTGACGATTACCATCCCTCCACCTACCAAAAGCCTTTCCAACTTCTGTCCCTGCTCTACATTGGAAGAGTTCGTTTCCTTTTTGCTTATATTTTTGTTTCTAAATAAATATATCATATTTGCAATATTTATATAATACCAATTTACTCCTAATCGCTTAGTCCGATCCTGTCCAACATAAATGTAATCAATTTTGTGGTCCTATGTGATCATCCGCTTTTATCTTGTTCTATATATTTTACAGGGTGGGCCCCAAATTGCGCAACAGGAAATTCTTTTCAGATAATTTATTGTTGGTCACAATTCTAAGGTTATAAAATTTTATTGCTACTACAGTTTCGTTTTTGTGTTTTGAGTGTACAGGAAATCTATGAAATTTCGCTGATTTTATAGTTAGATTCTTTCAGATGAAATTACCGCTTTTATTCCTGAACTATTAATTAGTTTTCTATGTACATGTAGCTTAATGTAGCTGTTCAGGGTATCAAAAAAATATATATATATTACTTATGAAATTTCGTTGTTAATTTTTTTTTATTCGTAAGAACTTTGGCTATAAATAAATTAGGATACGGATATTTTTGTAAGTATGTGGTTAAATAAGGCTACGGTGAAATTATAAAACATGGTAATTAACTGGAATTTTATTCAAGAAAATTGATTTTAATAAAAATCAACAAACTGGGTTTATATTTCTAAAAAACCAAAATTAAATAAAACCCAGAGGTACCTACTTTATAAATATTAAAATTAAATAAAACCCAGAGGTACCTACTTTATAAATATTAAAATTAAACAATAATAAGTTAAACTGGTTACATTTTAATTTATTACAGTAAATTTTATGTAAAAATCCGGATAGACATTATTTTGACTTTCGTAACCATGAAAAGGTCATATTTCCCGTTTTTAACCGACGGTTAAAAATGTCAGGGTAAAAATGTCACAAAAACGAGGTGTGTGGGCAAGAACGTCGTTTATGAACGTCGTTCCAAAATTTCAGGCGAGTCTTGATTTTTGACGGTTATCGTGCCAACCGTTCGAGTAAACACGAGGTGTATGTTCTCAACAGTTTGACTGGTCGGGCATTTATTAGTAAGAGTGACGTTCAGCATGTTTTTGTTGTTTTTTATTATTATTTACAATAAAAATGTCGGATATTAAGCAGTGGAACAGATATTTTTTATTAGAGTTTATCGAGCTTGGCAGGTTTCGGGTATTATGCGCCCTAGTGCCTGCGGTGAAATAATAACAGAAAATTTCAGATCCTCGTAGCTGCGGCCAGTGGCCAGAAACCACAGAGTAGCAGTTAGGCGTTCGTGAGAACTGATGCATTCCCGTAAATGGGTATTATGTCTCTCAATTAACGGTGTTAATAGTTTTAACAGTTTCCGATACGTATCCTCGTCCATCCTCAAGTAATTGTGCCAATCACCAGGCTCCAATCTTAGCTCCTCCAGTAAATTTGTTTGTGACAGTGTACTGCGTTTAAGTAGCCAGTCTTTAGTCCATTTTCTTCGAAATTTTATTTTTTCACGATTTTTTTCCACTGCCAAAACCGCTGCCACTGCTAACAAGCACGTAGGGTCCATCGTGATAAACTGGCGCGAAAAAAACTGTTGTGTGTGGACATATCAGTCAACGTTTTTTCTTCCAACGTTTTTAACCGTCGGTTAAAAACGGCAAAGAAGAACGGAGTCTTTTTGAAGTTTTAACTGCCAAAAAATACTTCAGTTTTACCTTAACGATGTCTGATAATTTAACAACTTATTTAAATGGATTACGAACTTGAAAGTTATAGTGACACTCCATCTGAAGTGAAAAATGTGGCAAACGCTACAATTTCAAATATGTTACCAGCGAAGTCCAAACTATTGTACAAGAAAATATGAAATCGTTGATATGAAGTCACCGTTAAACAATTTTCTTTACAATAAAAAAAATTTTCTCTATTAAAAATTAGGCTATTTTACGTATCCTTAGCAATCAATAAAAATGTCATCATTATCATTGTTTGCCAGTTGAACAAAACTATATTTTTTAAATAAAAATGTTGTAGAAAATACAAAATCACAATCTAATATATCCGCTTTCCATTTTTTTAAATATGAAAAGCAAATTTTGCTTCCGAAAAATAAATTTTACCATATTATTATCTTATCTATTAATTGGCCATAGTTTAAGACCAAACAAAATGGATTAGCTTAATTATTAAAATATTATTGTTTTTATCTGTCAAATATCTTTTATCGCCATTTATCTCTCGTTAATCTTATCACCATTATCTCAAATACTTATTCGCAATCGCTAACACAATTTATTTTCTTTTTCAGTTTACATTCACCTGTCCCAAATCAGAATCTACGAAGGTGATAACGATACGACGTTTCGACACTTTCAAAAACTGACTGTACAGAGTGCTCCTTCGAGCTGAGTCTCGTCTATTGTGATTTTATTTTTATAAGGAAAAAGTGATATTATGTATAATTTAAACGTAGACTTGGCGACGTCGGCGCAAAATGCCGTTAACAGGTAAGAATTTTTATTTCCTACATTTCGACAATGTATTATCATCATCATCAGAGCAAACAATTATTATTCAAACTTAAAATAGGATATATCATTTTTGATCAAACAAAATTATTTTTTTATTAAAAGAATTGATATTTAATACTGTTAATTTTGGTAACTCCATATATGATGTTTTTTAAAAATTATGGTGGCTGCCATTAAAACTAGTCCCGTTGATTAATTAATTTTATTCTGAAACATTCTTAGTACTTATCAACTAAAGTCAGTCCATCGATTGTTCTTATTACTATTATACAAGTCACTCGTACACTGTGCTCTGCTTTCACATATAAGCAGCATACTACACGAGATCAAATGGCTTGGCCCTCTTCAATCGTCGGACATGAATCTGATTATTTAGCAGCTAAAGAGTTTCTGCGTTGCTATGTAGGCGAAGTAGGGCTTTGTGCTTGTCAGCAAACCCTTTGATCTCTTCTTTCACCGTTGAAATTCCAAGATATAGATGAATATCTGTATTGCGCACATACCAAGGAGTGTGTTGATATCTCTGGCACATTCCCATAATCGAATGTCGTAAAGCTACATGGGTCTTAAGATCTGGTTGTAGATTAATATTTTATGTTTTAAGTTTCTATATTTTAATCCTAATTCAGTTATTTTCTTTTTAACATCTGGTTTCCATCATAACTTGGCATCAATGCTCATGTCAAGTTACTTTGCATTCAGCTCATGAGGTACAGTCTTTCCGTTGATATTTAGAAAAGGAAGTTGCTATTTTTTTGTAGTAAAGTTCACATGAATATATTTCAGTTCATTGAGCTTAATTCTCCATTTATTGGTCCAGCTAACTAAAAAATTGCTAGCAGTTTGAAATTTGATTATTGATCTTTCTTGGTCCTGATCAACTGCAAGGAGAGCAGTATCATCAATCAGCGAATGTAGCTAAAGTAATATCTTCCACAGTTGGAAAGTCACTAGTGCAGATTAAGTAAAAAATAGGTCCAATAACACTTGCTTGAAATACTCCAGCTTTGATTCCTTGTAAATTAAAATATTCTTCTTCCTGCTTGATTATGAAAAGCCTGTCTGAGATATTATATGATGTTATAATCTATGCATGCTGCTTCGGGAACATTTTATTTATTAAGTGTAAGGGGTTAAAGAAAAGGTCCTTTATTTCTCACACTGACTTGTGAGAAATAAAGGACCTTTTCTTTAACCCCTTACACTTAATCCCTACTACTCACATATGGCTACCCTCACTCCAAAACATTTTATTTAGTTTGTGAACCAAACCGTCATGCCACACCTTGTCAAAGGCTTGAGCAACGTCTCTAAAAATAATGCAGAGCAGATTCGTTTCCCTTCAAGGGCGTGTTATATGACATCCTTGATTCAATGCACTTGGTCAATAGCAGAATGTTTCTGTTGAAATCCTAATTGGAATCCACCTGTCCATTTTTTAATATTTTATAAGAGATCTCTTTAGCAGTAATTCCGCACAATTTTGACACAATTGGTAAAAGATAAATAGGCATATGAGACGTCGTTCAACAATTTTCCTGATTTCGGAAACATTATTACGTCTGCAACTTTTTAGCCTGCAGGAACATGAATTACTCTGTAAGAAAAATTATATTAGCTTGACAATAGCTTTTCTAGGTAATTCTAAGATTTCACTAGTAATTAAATAGAAGCCTGGTTCTTTCTTCGGATTAAGGTTAGTCTTAATCTCTTTAGCTACTTCTTTCGGTGTAACGCATGTGATGTTTTCGGTTTTTTGATTGAACTATTTTCTTTGGAGCTAATGGATCTTTAAATCTTCCGTGTGGCTCTCCAGATATAATAATCGGGCTCTTTATCTGGTGATAGGTTCTGTAGACATGAATTTGTTGGTTATTCATTTAGCTTCTGGATTTCTCTTCTCAGTTTTAATATTTAATATAGTCTTATCAGATGGGTCTTTAGATTGTTATTATCTTATTTTCTCTAACAAGTTCCCTGATCTCAACTGGGTAGTTTATTTTTCTTGTCTAATGGGTAATTTCTTTGGTGTTATTGTAAGCAGCTGTTTAAATAATTTTGGTAAAGTTCTCAGCTTCCTCATCTTGTTTAATTGTGGGTCTGATAAGGTGAGGTCGAGTTGCTCTTGAAATAAACTGGTTCACTGAAGGTCAGAATTACGGCTGAGTGATCACAAGAATCTAAATCAAAATGTTCTTCAACATAGCATAACATCTTATCTTGATATAAGACTTACTTGTCTAATTGTCTCAGATATGAGACATATATCTTTATGCTAGTGTTAACGGTAGGGGTTATATTTTTTGTTGAGAAGGCCATTGTCATTCCATGTAGTGATCCTTAGATCTTCAAAATTTATAAAATTTACTTCTTGCGTATAGCTCTCGTGCTCCTGGTCTTTAGTTTGTCAAGTTCTTCATTGACTCGTTTAAGAGTTTTCGTAATATAGCTAAATATCTCGATAATAAAATATTTCTCGGCAATACATTTTTTTAATTTTTTTCCAATGATTTAAAAAAATGGCATGCCTTCTAAAAATTTAAGTTAAATTATAAATTCTTATTGTATAAAGTTTAAGCTTGTGTAAAAATGTAAAAACTTTTTGCTGTTAAAAGTTAGGTTTAAGGTCTATGCCCACTACACCGGATCATACTATGACCGTGACCGTACCGGCATAGGCAGAAAAATATTCTTTGTATAGATTTAAATGACAATGCCCACTAGACCGGCCCGGCATCGACCACACCATCCTCATTTGAATCTATACAAAAAAAATCAGGTCGGGGCACGGTCAGAGTATGGTACGGTATAGTGGGCATAGACCTTTACTTCAAAATATGCTATTAAGAAGGTGTTTTAAGTATGAAAGCCTATTAAAACATCAAAAAATTAACAAAACCTTAGTTTAGTGTAGGAACACAAAATTATTTGATTAGGCAATCCAAATCACGTGACTTTAAATGGTGGACGTTTGACAAAAACAACAAAAATGGAGGTTTTGTGACAACAATATGTTTAGTGAGGTTGTTTTCGAGTTTTCTGAGTTTTTTTTGGTGGATTTAGTTAAAAATTGCAATAATTCATATTTATAAAGTGTATATGAATATTAAAAGTATTTTTATTACACACCTTTTTTTAGTCTAAAATATTCTGCAGATTAATAAATTAACGTAGGGATCCTTTAGATTAGCTTCAATTTAACTATTATTGCGCAAGCCAACCCTGTTCTTTGTTAATTGCCGTACGCGCTGGCCATATCTAGATCCATCTCGAGTCTCGAGAAACCGTTTCGAATGTTTTCCATCGCAGTCTTACGCGTTCCAGAACTTCCAGGCTGAGCTTCTAGTCATAGTTGGTTCTTTCGAGAGTGGTATATTTATATATAAATAGCGCGACTTTTCGACAAACGTGAAGATTCAATTTAAGTGTTGGACAGAAAAGATAAATTGTAATAAATAATTTAGAAGTGTGATACTTGTATTATATAAATTAATTAGTACGTTATAAATTGTGAATAAAGCGTTTTAAATAAAAAAACTATGAATAAATGAAACAAACGTTACATTGGTATTAGAAGTGGAATTTTAAATAAATAGTGAACAAAAATGGCTAAAAAACTGTGTGATTTAAAAGTGGCCGAGTTACGTCGAGAGTCAGAAGAACGTGAACTGGAGCCGTCAGGAAAGAAATCAGTTGACTTAAAAAAGCACTAGAAAATGAAAGTTTGGATCCGGAGACGAATCTATTTTCAGATGATGCGTCTGCTATACTTTCTTCTTTGGAAACTAAAGTTTCTTCTGACATTACATCCTTTGATAATAAAGTTACTTCAGATGTTTCTTCTATAAAAAACGATATTTCTTCCTTAGAAGAAAAGGTTTCGTCTGATATGTCTTACGTGAAAAACGAAATTTCTTCTTTAGAAACTAAAGTTCCTTCTGAAATATCTTCTTTAAAAGATGAAATTTCTTCCGACTTGGAAAATAAAATATCTCCTATAAGAAATGAAATTTCTTCTGTTGAGAATGAAATAGTGTCTTCCGTTGAAGAGAAAATAAAAGAAATGCAAAAGAAGATAAAAGAACGGGAACATACAGAATCGGCCAAGGACGGTGATATAAAATGCCATGAAATGGAGTTGAAGTTGAAATTGGAAGGAGCTGTAAACTCTGCTCGTGTTAAAGCCCCAGCTTTCGACGGAAAGATGTCATGGACCAACTACCTTAAACAGTTCTAAACAGCCGCCAGAGCAAACGAACGGTCTGAACGAGAGAAGGCAGTAAATTTGACAATCGCCCTTCGAGTAGACGCTTTAGATGTTCTTCAGACAATACCTATGGAGGAGACGGATGATTTTGAACAACTCAAAAAGAGATTAAACATGCGATATGTCCACGAATACTTGGAGCAGGTGTACCGATTATATTTGAAGAATCGCGAACAGAAACGTCATGAGAGCCTATAAGAATTCGAATTAGATATTGCTAAGATGGTGCGATTTGCCTACCCATCAGCTCTAGAATACATGATTGAATGTTTAGCTGTTCAAGCATTTGTTGATGGACTTCTTGACCATGAAAGGCAAAGAACACTCCGTTTAGCTCGTCACAAAATATTGGTCGATGTCTTGTCCGCTGCTCTTGAATATGAAGCGGCTATACTGGCTTCTGGTGGATACAGTGAAGTATGGACTGTAAAAGAAGAAGAAGAACAGGGAAATAAATTCGATCAATTGTTTCACATGATAAAAAGCATTATTGAGAAGCAACCGAAGACTATTAGGTGCTGGAATTTCAGTGAAATGAGAAATGTAAGCAGTTCGCGCAAACACCCAAAGAACACTATGAAGCGAAAAACCGTGTAGGTGGCTGCACAGGAAGGAACGGTGGTGCCTGTTAGATGTGAAACTATAAGAGTAACGCGGTTGCAAGGATCTGTAGAGAAAGGAATTCCTGTTATGGTGGAATCGTTGAAGCGTAATGAAGGTGTTGGTCAAGGAACTCTAATTGGAAAGGGGTTGGTCACATCTGCCAAAGAAGTTACGGTACGAAGAACAACGATTATCAACGATGAGTGGGCCCCTGCCAAACTTAGGGAAGAACAAGAAAACGATCCCGTTTTAAAGCAGATGCGACAATGGAAAGAGAAAAATCGTCGACCTAGTATCAAAACTCTCTCCAGTAGTCAAGTCATATTGGGCTCAGTGGGACTCCTTTGGAAGAAGGCTTATTAAAGCGAGTACTAGAGAACGATGATGGTTCCGAAAACAAAAAACAGTTGATCATTCCAAAGACGAGAGTAGCCGAAGTACTTCGTCAGTTACACGACAGTCCATCAGGACATCTCGATGTTGAGAAACCCCTTCAGAGAGTTCGTGAAAGGTTTTATTGGATAAACAGTTCCGATGATGAAAAGGACCACCTGTGTTATGAAGCAGTACAACGTCGGTAGCCCATTTGAGGGGATTGCCGATTGCCTTAGATATTGCTGGACCATTCCCCTTGACCGAGAATGGTAATAAATACATGATGGTGCTTATTTCACGAAGTGGGTGGAAGTCTACACCATTCCAAATCAAGAGGCCGCAACTGTTGCAGACGTGTTAATAAAAGATTTCATTAGTAGATTTGGAGTGCCTTTGGAGATCCACAGTGACCAAGGCAGACATTTTGAAAGCCAGCTTTTCCGAGGAATCTGTGACAGACTAGGCTTGAAGAAAACCAGAACTACGGAGATGCACCACAGTCAGATGGATTGGTAGAGAGAATGAATAAAACCATTGGCAAATATCTGTAGTTTCCAACCATCAGCGAGATTGGGGTGAGTAGGTATATTTCGCTTTTCGCAATGGCATATGGATCCGCTGTCAATGAACCTACAGGCCAAACACTAGCAAAGGTGCTGTTTGGGCGTGAAATGAGACTACCGTGTGACCTCGAGTTTGGATGCCGACCTGGAGAAGACATAGCCGGTGAAGATTAGGTGATCCAGCTACGAAGAAAAATGGACGACATTCATGAATTAATTTGCTCGCATCTTCAAATCGCTAGCGACAGAATAAAGAAGCGATACAATACCCATGCCACAGAAGGATGTTTCAAGGAAGGCGACAAAGTTTGGCTGCACAACCCAAGAAGACAAAACGGTTATTCTCTGAAGCTTCAAAGGTCTTGGGAAGGTCCGTACATCATTAAGAAAAAATAAATGACGTTATTTACCGTATAAGTAAGATTTCGAACGGTAAACCGATAGTAGTGCACCAAAAACGGCTGGCGCCATTTGAGGGTGACCATGACGAGGAAGAAGAAGTAAACCAGCTCCAAGAAACACCTGACCTTGTCTTTGAAGAATTAATGGTTGCATATGGAGGTACCGGAAAAGCCAGACATGGAGTTACAACCAAGCAACAAGAAGACCTGCTCGTGGTTACTAAAGATTACTCGCTGGTCCATAGACTTCCGCCAACATCTACGACGCTCTAGGTCTGGCATCTGTATTCCGGAAAAGGTTTGGTCAATTGCCAGATCAGTTACCAGCTCCTGGAAAAGCATTGAAACTTCAAGATGGAACGCGTTATGTTTTTTATTTGGTAACAAAGAACACCTTCCGAGATCGATCCACTTATCATGATGTATGGGAAGCATTACTCAGTCTGAGGGAGCATGTACTGGAGTCCAATGTACAAAAACTAACCATGACCAAGATAGAGAGCAACCAGCTAAATTGGAGGATCATGACAAACATGTTGGAAGTAATCTTTCTTTGTTTATTACTGTACGCGCGACAGGAAGTCTAGCGCTGGCCATATTTAGATCCATCTCGAATCTCGAGAAACCGTTTCGAATGTTTTCTATCGCAGTCTTACGCGTTCTAGAACTTCCAGACTGAGCTTCTAGACAGAGTTGGTTCCTTCGAGAGTGTTATATTTATATATAAATAGCGCGACTTTTCGACAGAAGATTCAATTTAAGTGTTGGACAGAAAAGATAAATTAGAATTGTGAGTTATAATAGCGCCTAAGTATTATATAAATTAATTAGTACATTATAAATAAATTGTGAATAAACTTTTTTAAATAAACTATAAATAAATTAAACAAACGTTACACTATTATCATCAGTTTTAAAACTCACAAATTTGCAATAAAAACAGATCAGTAAAACACTAATGAAAAAGTTAGGGTATATTTGTTTGGGAGTTCAAAAATAATTTCCAGTATTTCAGATTTTTCACAGTTCTTATTTTTTAAATGACAGTTTAATTTTTTTTTAAATATCATGTACATTCGGAAGGATTTATTTCATGACTAAAAAGTTCTATAAACATATGTCCGCAAACGCTTCGTTACCGATCTACAGGATGTTGAAATTTTAAGATTTTTTGTGTTACCTCTATAGCTCCTGTAGTTTCCTTGTTATGGTATAGTAATATATAATTTCAACGAAAACCTGGTCATCACAGCTATAATTTTTAAGAGCCAGTGGCGAATAAACCGAAACTGTCACTTTCATTTAGTTAAATTACAGAAAATCGTCTTTTTTGCTTTTTTTTTATGATAACAGTCGCAAAAAACTACAAGATCTTGAAATTTCAACAACCTGTAGATCGGTAATCAAGCGTTTGGGGGGGACCTATTTTTATATGACATTAAACTTATGATATAAGCCAAAGAATTACCCCCTCCCGTATGAACATATTTAAAAACACCCTGTATAAAAAACTAAAATATGGAAAACATGTTAATGAATAGAAAAGGTACTAATAACCTTTTCATATTACCTACTTAAAATTCCAATTTTAACCATTTCTATAGTTGCTTCTGACAAAGACCTAGTTCTTTGCTGAAAGCGCTATGTCTGACTTTTAACAATAAACATGCTTTACACACTTTCTTTGAAAAAATACTCATTTTCTATACCTTTCATCAGTTACTCAAAATGTTTATTAGTTACAGTTTTTAAGTTTACTGGCTTTAGAAAAGCAGAAAAGGTCTATTAGGTTATCATTATTCTGAGAGTGCTATTATTGAAAACTGGCAAGGTCTCCCATTAAAAAAAAAATTAATTTAACTTAAAAAATATGACAACAAAATTAATTGTCTTTTTAAAAATTGAAACCATCGCGACCTAAACTTGAATCGAATTGTTACAAACAACAATTATACAGAATATTCTATGGAAAGGGCAATTAAATTTAAGTTTTCATTTACTCAATATTAGTATTAAAAATTTATTAAAACAAAAAAAAAATCATTTATAATAATATTTTACAGCCTCCTGGTGGATAGCACCACAGCCACGCCACGTACCCCAGAAATTCTCAATTCCCTCATAGCCATGACGAACCCTCTGGACAACTATTCTTTCGATGAATCGGTTTCCACGAAGAGGTTACCCACAAGGAGACGACCCTTCAATTCCAGTAGCGACTCCAACAGCTCGAGCAGCAGCCAAGGTAATACAATATTTTTTTTTTTTTAGCAGTAAACCGTTCAAATACCCTAAAGGTGTAAAAATACTTATTATACTCTGCGATAAGTCAAAAACGAAAAACTATATCAATTTGAAAATTTCAGGAAAAATCAAGCTCTATAAGGGAACGAAGATTATTGATTTTGAAAAAAAAAATCTGAATAAAAATGGGGGATTTAAGAGCGGTTGAAATAAAAAATAATAGAAATCAAAAACCAAAAGCGATATCAACATGAAATGTTTAGTAAAAATGTGGAGATAAGGGGGGGTTGATTCTCTGGTTGAAATATGAAATATGAAAATCGTAATTCAGAAACAACTATATCAAATTGAAATCGTCAGAAAAAATCAAGCTTTATAATTGATGAAGCCTTTTGATTCTGAAAAAAATCTGATTAAAAATAGGGGTTAAAGGAATCTTTTAAACTGTGAAGAGCATAATATAGAGTGCTAAGCATTATATATCTTCATTCTTGTTTTAATTATATAATTAATTATATACAAATGTTTTCCATTTTTTTTTTCATTCCAGGATACTCCTCGGGTCTTCAGACATGTTTTTTGGTATTCCTGTTTTAGTTTGCGCAGTGATTTTGTCTTTTTGTTTGTGTCTCTTCTTCCATATAAATTACATATCCAAACAACTTCAAAATGGATATATTTTCTTGTACTCCTCTGCCTTTCCTAATTTCACTCTGTGCTTATTCCAGTTGAATTTTAGTCTTTTATCAAGAATTATTTCGAATATCTTTATTATCCCTTTTTTTTTCTACAAACAATATATTTACTTCCCAGTCTTTTTTTTATTCCAAATCTTGTTAAATATTATTTTAACCCATGTTTTCACCATTTCTGTAGTTATCCTATCTTTTCCTACTGACGTGCTTCTTTTTAGCACCCTATTTCTGTTATTTCATCTTGTTCTGTTCTATGTATTTCATTCTCCTCCATTTTATTTGATGTGTCATTATTTCTATTTCTGTACTTTTCCATCCTCAAAATAATATTTCCATTGAACGCAACATTACGTTTTTCTCATCTATTATGTTTCTTCTTTTGACCAAATATAAGTGTTAGTTTCTTATGAGCTTTTTTAGTACTCCATAAAACTGTTTTTAATTTTCCTTACTATTTTTATAATACAATTATTCATACTCAGTGAACAAGTGGTAAAGAATCAACACGAAAACTATCTAAAGGACTCAATGTTTTAATAAAGGAAACGAACTCTAATATTGTTATTTTTCTTTGTGTTATTTTTAAAACTTATAAAACATGTAATAAAATGATTGGAGAAAAAATATTGAGAACTCTAGTTTACTTATTGAAGGGGCATTCAGGAATTGTTTCTTGACGAAATTGATGTTATATGCTTGTAATTAACTAAAAATCGTAATTGTCTAATACACAATTACATTTTAGGACCTTAGGTTTTTAAACGTTTGTTTGTGAAATCAAAGCCAATTATTTTTAAAATGAATGAATTAAGAAATTGGTGACCTGATTTAATAAAGTTGGGGAATAATCTCATTGAAGACATTCTCTTTTTCGATTATTTTAAATTCCAAAAATATTTTGTAGTGGAGTCGCCCACGACGAATCCACCCAGTGTCCAACATACTTGTTCCCAATTAATAAAGGCTGGACTCAAACTGACGATCGAACAAAAGCGAAAGCAACAAAGCGACGGAGAGGATCTTCTCGATTTGGATAAAGTCAAGAAGATCAAGCAGAACGAATACAGCGAATCTGAAGATGATAAAATCAAAATGGAGCATGGGGTAAGTTTTAATGTACGTACACTTCAATTTCAATAATTATTAATGTAAGTATAGAGTGATCCACAAAAAATGTTTCGAATTTAGGCCTTGGAAAAATTCTTCTTTTTTTAAGTATCAGTTTGGATTTAATTCAAAGCCGTGCGTAGTTATCACGGGCATGCCTTTGCCGGTCATGGCCTATTTTCGAAACATTTTTTGAGAATCACTCTTTATAATTTTAATGGAATCTGCTGTGGAAAATGCTAGAACTCTACGGTCTTATCTTAGCAAGGATTAATCTATTAAAATAAAATCGAAATAAAAATAAAGTCTCAAAGCGTTGTGTCACAAATAATAAATAATACGAACCCCCGTTTCCCACGAGAAACACTCAAAATCAATACCACAATATAAATTTTATTAAATCAGATTGTCGCGACTAGTTTGGGTATAACATGGCCATCATCAAGCCTTTAATAAAAAAAAATGTAGGGCAGATGCCTCACTTCTCTTACATAACATTTCTCTAGATAGTTCATCGCAAGCATTTCTGATTTTTTTTATTAAATATTACACGTTGTGTAAACTTTATTTTTCAAAATTCCCCACATTAAGAAATCTAGTGGGGTCAAGTCCGGTGATTTAGGCGCCCAGTGTATCGATCCATTAATTCCTATCTAGTATTCTCCATAAGTTTCTTGTAAATATTGTGGGAGAATTCTTGCTTTATGCATGGTTGCTCGAAGCTGTAAGGGCACATTTTCTAGAAGCCTAAGAAATTACAAATATTGCTCACTAAATAAAACTCCTTCGTATAAATATGGGCCAATCAAATGATTATTAATAATACCACACCAAACGTTAATTCCGAAGTGTGCTTGGTTTTCAATCTGATTGACAAAATGTGGATTTTCAGTAGTTCATTAATGGTTGTTTTTATTGGACTAAGTTGTGGACTTTATAATCGTGGTAACCACGGTTTTTTAAAATGTTTCGTACCGACTTATATTTTAAATTCAACTCACGACAGGCTTGCCGAATTGAGTTAATTGGCTGGTTTTCAAAATACTATACAAAACAGCAAAAGTACTGCAAAATTTACCATTTTAGGACCCTATAGGTTTAGTTATGATACTGAGGAAATTTCTACCTAATCTAATAATAATATAATATCTACAGTGTGTCCCAAAATGTTTAAAACGAATGGCATAAAAATGTTTCTTATATTTCACAAAATTATTCTTGATGAAAAGTTCAGCATCACTCGGAAATCCATAATCATAATTTGTAAAATTCAAAAATTTCCAATTCCATTTACCAATTACCATTGTTTTTGTATTATTATACAAATGCAATTATTTAAACTAGGGTATATTTTTCATTTCTAATCAACATTTTGCTCTATAAGTATTTTTACTTTCGTTATAAATCATTTTTATTTTTTCTGTATACCACCTATATTTTACAAAATTTGATGCTTGTTTATGGATTTCCAAATGATGCAGAATTGGTTATCAAAAAGAGAATATTTTTTTTATTATGTGAAATGTAAGATATACTTGTGTGTAGAAACAGAAAAAAAGTTAGCAAAAACTAATACCTACTGTAAATTATTATATTCTCAGGGTAACTACTTTCTGGAAAATTACGGAAATCAAGAAAAAGTGAGGGAATTGTAATTAATTTCGTAAATGTAGAAGTGTCATCAAATATTTTTAAAATTGTTTTGTGCGTGTTATTTTTGATCTAAAGGGAATTATATAGAAATATTCTATTCCGTTTCCTGTGAAATTATATTTTGACAAAATATTTTGCAAACAACAGAAAAAACCGGGAGGTATTTAGGAAATTAGTCAAAAAAAAAACTTTAAAAACAAACTACCTTGCAGTCAACATTTGAAGGCCACACTTAATCTGGTATGTCTCTATTCTAAATCTTTGAAGAGTATTAATAAAATTAAAAATTAAATTGGACGTTTATGTTAAAATTCCCCAATATATTGATAATTTATTCATAGAAAAATTAAAACATGCTACTGCGACTATATTAAAATTAATGAATTATTATTGTTATGGTAATTTTGTATGTATCCTACTATTTATTGGGAATCAATTTATTATTTTGTGATGTAGAAATTAATAAAAATATTTTGAATTGAAATATCCAGTAACAATAATTTAATTCCGAACTTATCGAACACCATACGAGGAGAAAGAAGCAGTTTTTTAAAAATTGACTACATATACTACTTTTTGATGCGATAATTATAAGAAATAGAAGCTAAATTCGCAGCTATCGTTTATACCTATCTTTCTTGTGGTTAAACGTCATTTTATATAATACATTTTAATATGCCATATTATTCAAACCGATCCTGATATCCCGTATATTTCCTACATTTCCTTTCATAAAGTTTTACGACTATTGAAATTTGCAATAAAAATTGTTTAATCCTCAAGGCCGAAGTCGTAAATATCGGCGTTGATATGTATATAGGAGGTGTAATTATTACCCATTTACGTATCATGTAATTTTAATTAAAAAAAAAGTAAAATTTGTTTAGTGCTGTAGTAGCTTCTTAATATTAATTTTGTTGATCGCCAATCTGAAAAATTCAAAATATCAATATTAGAGTGATAATAATAGATCATGTCCCAACTGCTCAAAATATGAAATTTTGTAAATTTATGTCCTAGCAACAAAAATAGCTTTTGTCTATGTTTTTATAATATGTTATATTTATTTTAATATTTTGTATAGGGACTATTATTATTAAACGAAAAATATTTCAATTCTCAAATATCACCAATTTAGAAATAAACTATGAAGGAAAAAAAGAAAAGTCCAAAGATCGTGTCACAGAAACAAGAAGCTTTACTCTTTTTCCTTCATGGTTTATTTTTACTAATATTTTTGAGTAAATTGAATTGAATGTCATGACAAAGCTAACTATTTTTGAAAATATATTTTTGATATCTTTAAATGTTATCTAGAGAAATAGACAAAGTTATTTTTAGATGTACAGCAGTGTTGCCAGTTTGTTACAATTGTAACAAATCTATTACATTTATAAAGGGTCTATTACATTATTACATATCCAATAAATCTATTACATTTTCACGAGCCTCGAACGATTGATGAACTTGAACCTAATCTAACCGTGTCTTGATTTTATATGTTCCTAATATATTGTTAATTATTTCATACAACTAATACCATCACAAACACGTTTATTTGGTTAGGTTCATCCCAAACATGTTTTCTTGAGCATGCCCAAAGCGCTTAAGAAGTTTTTTTTATCATTGGACCTTGCATTGGAGACCGAATTTCTTTTTCCTTCTTTTTGTTTATAAAAGGTTTGTTTGTACAGAACCATTCTGAATTTATCTGCACATGAGTAGTAGGAAGAGTAGAACAGTTAAATCGTACTACAGCTACAGTACTACTCATATAAAAATGTGGCCCAATAATATTCTCGTGCTACATAATGATAATAATTGAAAGATTGTCGTTGTTTTTACCAATAAACATTATACATGTTTATTGGTAAAAACATATTATATTAAAAACATAAAACATTAATTATCAATATCAATACAATGAATCTATTTTTTATGTGTAGTTCATTTTACGTTTCTATTACATTTTCTAAAAATTTATTACAATTTTGAGAGTTCATCTATTACATTCCTTGAGAGTGCTCTGGCAATACTGATGTATTCACGGATAGGTGAAACGACTGTTGAAGAAGGTACAAAATTATGGATTTAAATTTTAATTTATTGGGGTTCAGTCTTGCTTGGTTAAAGACTAATTTCCAACATAATTTCAGTTTTGAAAAATCAAGGATGTCTTGGAAATTTTCAAAAAAATAAAGTGCCTTTTATATTGCAGATATGACCAAAGTTATTAGGAAAAATTGTTTAGAATCACCTTCTAGGTCCATATACCAGATTTGAAAATATTCGACCAACTATGCTTTTTCATTTATTTTGTCAAGATAACAGATACGTCAAAAAGTTATTTAGAAAAGTTGCTAGAAATCAAAATATATATCTATGTCCCAAATTTCAAAATCCTCTGCCAATTTTTATCTTTCATAATATTGACAAAATAAATGAAAAATCATAATTGGCCGAGAATTTTCAAATTTGGTGTATAGACCTACTCGTATATAGTGATTCTAAACAACTTAAGGTAGTTCACCCGTTAAAACGGCTTTTCTTAAGAATTCAAAAAAATTGAAATATAAGGTTAATTATTGTGTCTTTTATGTAACTAAAAAAAATTTAATTTTTTGATCATCTGTGAAACGAGATATTAACAATCAAAATGTACATAATTAACACTCTTGAAGCCTGTCAGGTGCACAAGCAATGCATTTATTTCAAGATATCTCAAAAACGGTTTTTACTATATTTTTTAAAAACTAATGTAATGTAATAAAATTTTCCAAAAAAATTTTTTTGACCGTTTTGGTAAAACAAAATATTTAAATTTTATCCATTATTTATCATTTCATATAATGCAGATAAACTACATCGTATGTTGCAACCCTTTAAACATAACCAAACCTTAGCACCGCGTATGGAATGCCTAAATATTGTGTATTTATTGGTTAGTTCTATGAATTCCTAATAAATGACGGTGTAAGATGAAGACTTTCGCCTTTTTAAATATAGGAACTTGAAAATTGGAATTGCGGCTACTCATAAATGTATATAATGACGTATTTCAAGGTTTTTGAATTTTTGCATTAAAAGGAGGGGGTATGGGAAGTATCATAAAAACCCTACTACTACTACATAAATGCGAAAGTTTGGAGGAAAGGGGAAATAGAGGAAATAGGGAAAGGGGGAAAGTGGGAAAGTGAAAAAATAGGGAGAAGGGGAAAGGGGGAAGAGGGATGAAAGTATCGATTTTTTAAAGGTGAGAACATGAAAGTTGGAATTGTAGCTACTCAATGACGTATTTAAAGGTTTTTGGATTTTCACATTTTAAGGAGAGGGGAATAAATAAATAAAAATAAACA